TGCATTTAGTTCTACCTCTTCTTCCTTATTTTTATGGTAGTATATTCTTCCCATTTCTTCCTTTTCTTCAAACCCTCATAAGAGAACCCATCTACCCCTCAAATCCTATATTTTTCTTTTTTAACTGCCTTAATACCATTTGAAGACATTAAGGTACTGATGGAAAATTTGTTTCTTCTACCCCATCGTAATGTTAGCCCTACATTGTCATATATCCCCTTCTAATTGTCCAAATAAATTTACCTTTCTAGGTTTCTCTTAACTCCTGTGTTTGCATTTTAAACTTCTTACTCAGCTCTACTCTTTATATCAGAAATACTTGAAAGCCATTTTTTCTATTAAAAGTCAATTTTTCCCCTGTAGGATTGAGGAGCTACATTTTATAAATATGAGTTCTCATCAAAAGTAAAGATTACTTTTTTGACTTTATATCCCCAGCACTTACCAGAGTGACTGACTCCAGTAGGGCATTTAATTTATTCTTGTGGAATTAAAGTGAATTTTTTTTTTAAATCTCAAATGTTGTTCTACTGATCCCACTTACCTCTGGCATGTTCTCTCTTCTCTACTTGGCTTTATAGAATCTCTAGTTTCTTTCGAAGCACAATGTTCTCCTGGTTCTGCTCACTTCACTTTGCATCAGTTCATGTAAATCTTTCCAGGTTTTTCTGAAAACATCTTGCTCATCATTTCTTATAGCCCAGTAGTATTCCAGCACAATCATATACTAATGCTTTTTTTGTCTTGAAATTGTGCTTTTTCCCTTCTGAAAATGCTTTGCATTACTTTGTATGTATAAGGCTGATCAGAAAGTTCCCCTATCAACTAGTTGAACTTATAGAATTGTAAGTTTTTGTTTAGGGCTTCTGATTTCACCCTCCCCTATGAAAAGGTGATACCTCCTAAGGATTTTTTTCACTGCCTTCAAGATGAATTGACTGGCTCCTGTCATGGGATGGATGATGTTATGAGAACTGTAATTTGATTTAGGTCTATAAAAAGGATCCTGCAGACTCTTTTAGTCCCTTTTTCCTTTTGTTTTTGTGAAAACATATGTAACCTGAGCCCCAAAGCCCATTGGTATGGGACTTTCTCCTCACAAGTGGAGATCAAGGCCACTGCTCCTGCATGAAGGGTGGGGCAGTGTTGATGACAGATATCTGCTTCTCATTCTCTTCAGGATCTTCTGCTTCCAGCTTCAAGAGAGAAGATGGAAGAAACCTGTCCCATTTTAGGTTGCTGAAGGGGAAAAAAGACTCTGGGAAGAAACTGACATGTAGAACTTTGCATATGTCTCTATTCTCAGCTTCCTACACTATAGAGACTTTTGGGAATTTCCCTTTGGGTGAGATCTGGGACTCTCTCTGTAGGTTGAGCTGAGTTGCTTTGCTCCTGGTAAGAGAGAGCCTCCAGGCACTATTGTCTGGTATATATTCCCATATGTATACTTTCTTTGACTTTTGTGTTGCTATTGATTTGGATAAATGGGTTTATTTGCTGTGTGTGTTGATCGTGGAACCGGTATTAAATGAGAAAAGAGTTAAGCCTTGAATTGGATATACAGCTTGGGGTTCTCCTTTCCTCAATAATGAATAGTGATCAGAAGTTTAACTTGAACCTCAAAACTACATCCCTTAGACTGGTAATATTTAAGGAAGTAAATAGATAAAATTTTAGCCTGCTCCTTTTCTCTGAGGATAACAGAGTAGCTAATCTCTGGTCCAACCTCCTGCTTACCTTTCTGGCAGGAATTAAATTCTCCCTTGGAGAAGAAGTTAGAGATACATCTGTTCTGGCTGCCCAATGAACCAAATCAAGCCATACAATGAAACCCCATGCTACATTTTGGGGGCAGCTCTGTTACACACAACTGGACTTAGAGTGGAGTTGGGTCAGGAAACATTACTAGTTGCCTTATAGCAGAGGTGGACGTGCTAGTGTTGATGCCACTAAGGAGAGTTCCTGGCCTCAGCCTGGTAGAGGTATCTGCAGAACCTCTTCAAACACACGGCTTCTACGGAGAGAGGAACAACATGATCAGAGCATTAGGGGTTCCTGAGTCACCGCCTCCTAGAGAAGGAAGAAGTTCCTGAATGGTCCTAGACTTGGAGGTTGCCTTCTGGGTAACCCCAAGGAACTGCCTTCCCTTTGAGCACAAGGAAATTTTTGTGGCAGCTTACCTGTGAGCAAGAGAATCAGTTTGGGCTTGTGGTCCCTGGTGTTTGGGAAAGCAGCATGGAACTGAAGTCATGACATGGAGGAATAAGATACCTGGACTTTTCCCTCTGATATGAGCTTGAATTATTTGGACCACATGGTGTTATGGGAAGGGGAAGGGTGGCTGTCAGTCTCAAGTGTGTTTTCCTTTTGGAGGCGGTCCAAATAATAGTGTGGTACGGTGAGTTTAGAAGGCCTTAGGATCTTGTGGAAAGTAGGACCCACCAGACAGGGAGAAGTGTACTGATTGTTTAAAGGTTTCCTTTGCATTTAATTTGGAATGGAATAAAGGCTGTCCTTGTACCCATTACAGGTCTAGGGTTTCCATTTTATGTAAGGACCAACACCAATAAAATTCCATTCTCCTTGGGGCTCTCTCTGCTCCTGAGTTTCTGGACTGAAAAACAGTGTGCCTTGTCAGGTATCTTCCTCTACTCTTCCCACCCCTGCCCTCATCCCTTTTCAGCTCCATTTTGTACTGTCTTCAGTTCAGTCATTTTTCAGTTGTATCTAACTCTTTGTGACCCCATTTGGGGTTTTCTTAGCAATGATATTGGAGTGGTTTGCCATTTCCCTCTCCAGCTCATTTTACGGTTGAGGAATTGAGGCAAACAGGGTTAAGTGACTTGCCCAAGGTCACACAGATAGTAAGAGTCTGAGGTCATATTTGAACTCATGAAGATGAGTCTTCCTGATTCCAAGTCCAGTACTCTATCTGCTGTGCCACCTAACTGCTTTTGTGTGGTTTTACTCCATTAGAGTTTAAGTTCCTTGAGGGCAGAGACTGTCTTCTTTTCGTAAGCACCTCCATTAGATTATAAACTCCTTAAGGGCTGAGATTTTGCTTCTTTTTGTATCCCTAACACTTAGCACGATGCCAGGCACGTGGTACATTCTTAGTGAATTTTTATTGATTGCAGTTGTAACCCCAGCATTTAGCAGAGTGCCTAGCACATGGTAAGTGCTTAATAAATGCTTCCTTCTTTCCCTGCTTGTTTGCTTTTTTCATTCCTGCCTTCATAACCTTTTTCATACCTTTTTTTTTTCATTTAAGGTAAACTGTATCCTTCCAAAAGTTTACAGTCTAAAGAATGGAAACACTAAACTCGAGAAAGGGATGAGTGAGTGAACAGTGACAAAAACTTCCTGGGAGCAAGAACTGTTTCATTTTTCTTGCTTGTATACCAAGCTCCTAGCCCAGACTCTGACACATAGTGGGCACCTAAGTGTTTGTTGAATTGAATTGAACCAGGAAGAAAATGCTTCCTAAGTATCTGCCTAGTAGGGACGATATCCAATAAAATACAATGTCTGTTCTTTACAATGGCCCACGAAATAATATCCCATACAAATATTCTCAATTCAAAAGGGTGATTTATTTGGTAGAGACCAAAGGGTAATAACATGTAGTGTATATACACATAACCATAAAACAAGCCTTAAGAGATAGAAACAATATCTCTGTAAACATGATTGAGTTTGCTAACAGGTAGCAGGAAGGCATGAGCTTCCTGCCTAGCTCATACCCAGGGCAGAGGACCCAAAACAGAAGCAGCAGGTTTTAACTCCAACAGCAATGAATGATGGATTATATTCTGGGATACTCCAGTCCAGGGATTCCTTGCAAGGAAACAGAGAAGTCTCCCCAATGTCCTTCCTACATTTGTCATTTGCTCATCTCCTCTCCTCCTCCCCTGGTTGCTCACTTTCTTCTTCCTCCTCACCTTCCTTCCTTCTCACTTGCTCCTTTCTTTCCCCTTTCTCCTCTTCTATTCCTCCTCCTCTCCTTTTACTCTTCATTAAGCCCTTCCTCTTTTGTTTTCTGCCCCTCCCCCACCTCTGTTCTCCATCTTCCATTCTTACTTGCACCTCTTGTTCCTCCTCTTAGCTTCTCATACTGCCCCATTTGCAAGTTCTTGTTCCTACTTGCATGCTCTTTTTTCTTCAGTACCACCATCACTTGCTCCTTCCACAGTGCTTCCTTCCCACACCCAGTGAACCATAGATTTGGGGGCCAGTTGATTATGCCCATTTAAAGGTTTGAGCATACCCGGAGCACTGTTTCATTTTGCCAGGGTTGCCAGACCAGGCATAGCCCCTTAAGCCCTGTGACTTTCCTTTCAGAGAGAAGCTGGAGGACTGAACTCATCTCTCTGGAGTTACTGTCCTATCAGCTACCGCTGGCGTAAGGTGGGAGACAACAGCTGTTTTGCGGTTGTGGAGCTATAAGGAAAGGATGAGTGAAGAAGAAACAGGAAAAAACCAAATACCTTCCACAGTAAAACAGGATGGGCCTCCCTAGTGTTCTCTCCTCTTCCCTCGTGTCTTCTTCCTAGCAATACCCTGCCAGTCACTCTCCTAAAGTGGGTCTGTGTCATCAAGCACAGTGGCATTCCAGAGGCAGTGAAGGCCAATGAATGACAATTCCTCTAAGCACTTTCATCATTAATCCCCTTAGAGCTTTGGTCACTTGATTGCTTACTCTCTATTAAAGATATAATCCTATTTAAGTAAACCCAATACATGAAAATCTTGATTTATACAAAAGATAAATTAGATACTGGTAGTAGTATATATGTGTGAATATGTATGTAAAATATGTGTGGGGACGTATTGCTGATCACTTTCTTTACAAAAGATTTCACAATGGGCTTTCTCTTAAAAAGCCAGATCCCTTAATTTACTTAAAATATAGTTAAATTTATAAAAAAAAAATTGATGGACACACCTACTTTGTAAAGTGAAGCATATCTACACTGGGTTAGTCCTACCCCCATTCCCCAACTTCTGGTCAACCTCACACCTCAGGGCAGCAGGGACCGTTGCTCGCTGCAGGCAGAATTCTCTTCCTTTGGGATTCCTTCCCTTTCTAAAGCTGGGCTTCTAACTCCTCTTCTTCTCTCTTCTTTGTCTCCTGCTGCCACCAGCCAGGCCAAGCTCTCACAGTGAATCCTGTATTCTTTCAGCACTACAAGGACCTCATACAGAGAGAACATAGGCATCTGGGCTTGAAATAAGACCCCCACAGAAATAGGCTTTTCTTCCTCCCTCCCTCCCTCCCTTCCTTCCTCCCTCTTTTTTCCCCTTCCTTCCTTCCTTCCTTCCTTCCTTCCTTCCTTCCTTCCTTCCTTCCTTCCTTCCTTCCTTCCTTCCTTCCTTCCTTCCTTCCTTCCTTCCTTTCTCTCTCTCTCTCTCTCTCTCTCCCTCTCTCTCTCTCTCTCTCCCTCTCTCTCCCTCTTCCCCAAGGAGACTGAGTTTTTCTAAGCTCCACTGGCTCATTCCAGAGGGCTTTCTCTGGATCCAGCTCCATCATCTGGAGTTTTTAGTTCCATATCCTTCCCTGGGATCATATCAATTTACCAAACCTTTGTTAAGGGCCTTTGTTGTGTGCAGAGCACTATACTAGGCACCTGGGGGAGGCACAAAGTTCAGGTAAAACAGTCCTTGTCTTCATGAATGTTTTGATCTGGTTGTTCCTACTATATATTTTGCCCTGGTGTCCTCAGTACCCTGATGTGTGGCTTCTTCCCCTCTCTCTAGGTCCCTCCTTAGGCTTTTTCTTATTTGGTTCTGCCTAGCTCCAGTGTCCTAATAGAAGGAAAATCTTTTATGTTTTTTCACTTCACTTCATTGTGTCTTTCTTTAGGCCAGATGGGTGACCTTCACCAAGCAGGGTGAGAAAATTCCAATGATGCCAAGCCACTAGGAAATTTCGAATAGATAGCTATTTCTTCCATCTATTCCCTTCCTTTGCTGCCCAAACTCTCTCTCTTTCCTCCTATTTTCCAATACTCTCAAATTTCAGGTTAACAACACAAGAGCATCAGAAAAATGTATTCCCACTTTGCCTTAAGGTCAGTCTATCTGGGATTGTCACTTCTTGCAACTTATTCATCTAGCACCTGATCATGGAGACAGTTCCATAGTTATTTCCCCATGGGTAGATATTTTTTGCAGTGTTTAGCTCCTCCAGGCTCTTTTTCTATCTCTAATCACTGAGATAACTTAAAGGACTTGCCCCCACCTGACTGGTTCCCCTTCAGAGAGATTGCTGTATGTGATCTGTGTCTACTGCCATGTATTCATATGTTAAAGGTGTTGGGCACCTGGGTCCTATTCCTCCACTGCTAGTCCATCTAGGGCAAGGACCTTGGCTTTCATGTGCAACTCCTTGTGTGCACAGGCATTCTACACTAACCTTTTCTAGTAGTATGTAAGTTCCTCACAGGCAGGAACAACTTTTTCCTTAATATTCCCCAAATCCAACATAATGCCTGGAACATAGTGTCCGATAAATGCTTGTTGAATTGATTTGAAAATTCACTTAGGAAAGGGGGGATGGGAAGAAAGGATGAACAAGAAGGAAAAGATAGTCTTTTTTGGGGATTAGAGAAGACTAAATATTTGCTAATTCTAAGTTCATTGAGGGAAGAGAATGAAGTTATTCTAAACTTTGCATATCTCCCAGTCCCTAGTATGCTAGGAATGACTTTCCTCAAGTCAAGGCTCTTCATTTCCTCATGCAGTCCACTCTCCTGTACATATCTATTCTAATTCTGTGAAGTTTCCTCAAGCTTTTGCTTACTCTAAATTTTCATTTTCCCTTACTTCTACCCCTTCCTCCTCCCTGCCTTTCCTAGAGCTCCCATCACCTCTGCTTTGTTCTCTTTTAGCCAACAACTCCCTTTGTTCTAAGACACCTAATTCTCTACCTGCTTTTGATGGAACACTTCTTTTGGTGGGCTCTCCATTAGGTCCTCTCTTTCTTGGTTTCTGTTATAAATGAAGATTTGAGGAAAGGGTCATTCCCTTCTTCCTTATCCAGTTACTTGAACTGGTCCTCCCTCCATCCCAGACACACTTCAGGAAGTCCTAATCATTCCCTTTACTTCTTCCCATCAACATAAATTTATTGGGTTTCAACGGATTTTAGTTATTTCTTCTCTAAGAATCTCACATCTTCATTCTCTCTCTCTATCCCTACCCCCCCCCCCATATCCCACTCTTAGTAGCAGGAATCTTATTTTCTTCTGAGATCAGAGAATCCTGGAGCTGGAAAAGACCTTGGGAGGTCATCTAGGCCATCCTCTGTTTGTGGAAAAAAACTGTACTTGAGATACCTTTCTAAGAAATACTTTCAACGCTTTTCATTCTCCATAATAATAAAATAGGGAACATATAGGATGATAGCATTTTGAATGTGGGTGTATGTATATATATGTATGTGTATATATATACATATATATACATGTGTGTATCTATATCTACATTTATTTATTTATTTATTTATTTATTTATTTATTCATTTATTTATTTATTCATTTATTCATTCATTCATTCATTCATTTATTTATTTGTTTATTTATTTTCTTCTCTTGCTTCCCAAATGTATAGTGATGATGGACACTGTCTCCAGAAGCAAAGAGCAAGTCCTGGAATACTATCAATTTGCCTTCCTAGATGTATGAGCTCAAGCAAGTTATTGTACGTCTTTGGGCCTCAATTTCCTCACCTCTAATAATAATAACATTAATAACAATAATAACTTGCATTTATGTAGTACTTTAAGGTTTGCAGAATATGTTAACTATGTTATCTCATTTGGTATGGGAGGGTGAGATTAGATGATCTTTACAATCCCTTCCGGCTCTAAATCCTGTGACTTGTGACCTTATGCTAGATATTACTTTGAATAGCTTCAGCCACCTTTTAACATTTTAATTTGGGCAAGAGAGATAAGCATTTAGTACCTACTATGTGCCAGGTATTGTGCTAAGCAATATCCCCATTTTATAACTGAGGAAATTGAGGCAAACAGAAGTTAAATGACTTGCCCAGTGCGACACAGCTACTAAGTGTCTGACGTTGAATTTGAATTTAGGTCTTTCTAATTTCAGGCTCAGCACTTTGTGCACTGCACTACTAAGTGCATAGTTAAAAACTCTGAAGTTTTTCATTCCTAAAGTTGTTTCTCCCCTACCCCTGCCCCAGTCCCATTGCAGCTAAGGAGTAACTCTAGGACCATGGAAAGTGGGAGCTGCTCCTCGTTGGGCCCACACTCACCTGGAGGTCCCTGCTCCTTGTTCTTACGACTTCTGCCTCCCTGGCCTAGGCATTCCACTCTGGGAACCTAGGGGAGGTAGTGTCGTTCTCGGGTCCAGACCCAGTGAAGAGGATTCTGGGCCTGGATCTGAAAGGTAAACATGAGAGGTTGATGGGCCCCATTCCTCCATGAACTGGACTATTTGTGAGGAATAGAGGGTTCTAAGATAAGGATATGCTCCCCAGGTCCCTCAGTGAATGCCAATCAGATGTCCTGGTTAGGTGGTTTGGTCATCCAATGGAGGAAGAGGGAGGATCATGAAACAGCTTGTTAGAACATAAGGGATTGCTTAGTTTTGTTATCTCAGGGCTTTCTTTTGTCCTTCCTCTTCCCACCTCATGCCCCAACTCCATCTGCCCTCATCTCTCCAAGTCCATTCCTGGAACACTAGTAATAGGGTAACCCAATTCCTTGGTCACTGAATATACACTCCTATAGAGTCAACAGTCCCCAAGACTTAGGGTCATAAGATAGGGAATGAAGTTCTGATTTGTCCATAGATTCCACTTATGCAATAGAAAGAAAGGAGAGGTGGGATGGGGTGGGGGGAGGGGAAGTTTTCTTTTTCAGACTTCAGAGGAATCTCTTCATGAGGGTTTCAGGTAGACCTTTAATATCTTTCTCTCTCTCTCTCTCTCTCTCTCTCTCTCTCTCTCTCTCTCTTTCTCTCTCTCTTTCTTTTTATTTCTCTCTTTCTCTTTCTTTCTTCTTCTTTTCCTTGCCTTCCTTCCTCCCTTCTTTCTTCCCTTCCTTCCTTTCTCCCTCCCCTCCCCTCCCCCCTTCAGCAAGAATTTACTAAGTATCTCTCATGAACAATGCACTATGCTAGGAACTGGGAATGCAAAGGCAAATGAAAAAGAGCTCCTACTGTTGAAGAGCTTACATTTCCATTGGAGACATGAGGTAGACTGTTGTATGCAAAGGACAGCAAGAAGCTCAGTTCAACAGTAATGTGCTATGCATAAAGGGAAGTCTAATGTACATTGTTGTGAAGTTAATACTTTCCCCCTTCCCTTTCCTCCCTACTCTTTTGAAATGTACTGATAGAAATGTAGTGTACTCAGATGATTTGTCCTGGTCCTGTCTTTACCTCATCACCTCTTTCTTTCCCTGCCCCCAACACCAACTGACCTCTTCACATATCTCTGGGGTGACCCAGGCTCTGCCACCCATTGCATGGAAGAAGTCTGCTTGTAGCCTCAGAAATTCTTTATAGAGGATGGGCCAGTCTTCCTTTCCAAGCACAAAAGGGAAAATGCTCCACTTGGAGACAGGGTTGTCTTCCTCCATGTCACAGGCAATATAGCTGGTATAGAGAAATGAAAATATTCATCTAGTTTCCTCCTCAATAGCATCTCTAGTCCTCAGATTGTGTGGAAGAGATAGCTCTAGAAAAGGAAATGAATGGAAGGGAAACTTTGGCCCTTGGGTAACTAGTTTGGTACCAGCTCAGGACAATGGTGATGGGAAGGACTTGATTTCTAAGGACTGGCCTGGAGTCCAAAGAGACAATAGGAAAGAATCTGAAATGCTGAAGATGTGTGGGGTGGTGACTTTCATCTATGACCGAGAACACACCATTTCAGGGACTACTTTTTGTATACTCTCCAGAAAATCCTCTTTTGTATTTTAGCCTCTAAGAGTCAGCTAACGAGTATTTAGTAGGTGGAGGGAGTAGGGAGGAGCCCTGGCTGCTTTGTTAATCACATTCCTAATAGGTGGTTATCTTTCCCTCCCTGGGGTGGGAGCCTTAGTTGTCTGTTAATTTAAGTCTCCTGTCCTATCATCCATGAGCAGGGGCACAATGTGGACGTACCAAGGAATTAAGACTGTATTGGGAATCCATCAGAGCACCTGCTCTGGAAAAGATAGATAGAGCCTAGAGGTTAGGGAGGTCTCTCTGGAATGCAGATTTTCTCAGTGTTCTCTTGGACCAGAAAAAAGAAGAGCAACAAAGTTTTTCTTTAGAGTTGGGGGACAGGGATGGTACTCACAGGGCCAGGAAGAAATGAATCCTATTATAGCAGTCTCCTGGGAGTCCCACTCGGCCAAAATATTCAACCACCATGGAGAGCAGATACTGTCCAGAACAGAGAGAGATATGTTAAGATCCAAGAGAACAAGGAACAGGAGGAGGATGGAGAACTGAGTCAGTGAGCTCAGTTGACATGACAAGAATGGAATCCTATTTCCCCTATCATGTCCCTTGCCACTATCCCCTGGAGTCTTTCTGCCCAAATTTCTCCTTTCTCTTATCTTCATATAAGCAATTCTTATATGAATGGCTTCGCTCTGATCAGGGAGAAATTTTAAGTTGTCATACCCACTCCCCTAAGTTTTTCTGCAGGTCCCACCCTTTGGGGCTTTCCCTACCTTATCAGACACTCTTAGGAAAACGTCAGCCTCCAAGAAATTCTGGATGACAGGATCCTCTGCAGAGGGAGTGAATGGGTCAGAGGCATGGGATGGCAGAACTGAGAAGACCAAGCCCAGTATGGTGGAAGGAGAAATTTACTCCCAAAGAAGTCTCAGGAAGGAAGAGAAGCTGAAAGTCCTGCCATATTTCCTTCTCTGGTCAGGAATAGGGTCTATGAGAGGAAGCTTTTTCTACTATGAAGTGGTGTTGTGGGGGGGGGGGACCCCAACAGAACTTAAGAGTCAGAAGACTGGGATTCTGTTACCTCTTAGCTCCATGACCTTTGGCAAGTCATAAACTCCTTGTAAGGCTTCCTGTCTCTAGATATTTCCTCTCTGTTGTTACCACTAATAATGAGCATCTCTAAATGTATATCTACAAATGAAGGCTCAGCAGCCTCAAGGACCAAGGATAAGACCTTAGGTGGTTAGAAGACTGTCCTTCTGTAGGACTGTATGAAGTGAAATCAATTGTTTTTGTTCTTGCCCACACTTTGGTGCTTTCTGATGGCATTCGAATGGGAATATGGGACCAATGGATTTGGATGGTGTGTGATCTAATGAAGTATAATTTGTTTTACCCTGAAAGAACTCAATAGAGGGTAAGTGGTGGGCAGGGGCCCATTTCACTTGGAACCACTACAATGGGGGAGGAAAGAAGAGTCCACAGCCCCATGGAGGGGAGGCCAAGTGATCTGCCCCCTACCTCAACTGAGTTTTGACAGTCACTAGGATGTAATTCCCAGGAGCTAGATTAGAGCGACTGATCATTCTTCCATGGAACCTCCCTGTGGAAAATCCCCAAAGTCTGCTCAAGCCACACACCAAGAAGTCTGTAGAAGGCTTCCTGATCCTCAGGGCGGAAATTGCCTCTCCTTCTCTTCTTCATGCAGAGCTTGGTTCCTTCCATACTAGTGACAGCCCACATGCCCCTCTTCAGAGCCCTCTTCCTCAAGGCCTTCAGCTTAGGGATACACCCTGGGGAGGTGGATGTGGAGGCTAGAGGGCCGCTGTCCTGTGGGGCTGTAGGAATAGAGATCCCTCATGAACAGGGAGGAGACCAACCTAGGTTATCTTCTCTCCTCCCGGCTCCCCACCTCACCAGTTCACCCTTCTGACCCTGAGCCTACCAGGACACCTGGCAACTGCAGGAAGAGATGGTGGCCAAGCCTGGGCCCTCATTGACAGCTAATGTAAGGAGGCAGAGGGAATGAGTGACTCCATTAACCTGCTGCCTTGGTATGAATATTTCAGTAGGTTTGTGATCTCATTGCTGCAGGTACTCCATCAGTACAGATCACAATCTATCCATGTGTAATTCTTGACCACACCCTCCCACGAATCTTCCATAGATCTGCCTAATGTGATGAAGGCCTTGCTCTAGGCATTTTACTATTGTGTGGATATCTTTGCAGTGACATTTGCGCTGTCCATCTCTTTATTCATCACCCTTGCTATATGGCCAGTTGTTGCTTTTCTGGCCATATATGTCCTTGATGACATCATTTATGTAACTTCTTGTGTGCAAGTCACTGTTGGTAGGTAATGGGTGCCATAGCCTAATCACATCCACCACGAATCTTTGGATAGAGCTCTGTCTAAATGCTGCACTGAACTGGGATTAGATTAGGGAAAAAAACCTAGCATAATACACAAACAAAGTGACAGTGGTTGTTCCCTAATCTCTTCTCTTACTTTTTGCAGGACAAAATATATTCATGTTGAGCTTATCCTTTATAGTGAGCACAATGAGAACTCCAGCTCTTTCTTGTATCTTCTCCCCACTATTCTGCCCCTAGCACATCCTCTCTCAGGATCCCATAGCAGAATTCTGTTCTATGGTGGGGTATAGGTCTTTCTGTAAATTTGTTTTCTCTCCTTCTTGGTCTCATTCATACCTCCTTTTTTACCCTCTTCTCTTCCCTTCTCAATCTGCCTTCATAACGTTAAAATTCTTCCCCTCACAACTTCACCTGACCCTAGTTCACTTACCTGAAGTCTCCAGAGCACTTCTTGTGCTGATCTCCACCCTGGGGATCCTTACTGAGAACATGGTTTGGGGACAGATGGCTCAAGGTATCACAGGGATGGCTTGGTTTTTAACCTAGGTGGGTTCCTCCAGGTCTCTGAACCAATTCAGACCATTCAATAGCCGTTTCTCTCTCACCAAACAACTAGCATCGCCATGGAGCACTGACTTCAGCTAAGTGTTTAGGTCCAAACAGCTCTGAAGGTTCCGAGGCAGGAGGCCCCTGGTGACATCAGACCATTCCACCCAGAGAACTGCCCCTTGGTTGGAAAGGGCAGTCAAGAAGACATTGGGGGCATAAGAGGGATACTGACTGGTGATATGACCTGCACAGTTGCAAGTACCAACTCCTGTACTAAGAATGATGACATCTATTTGTATTACACCTCTATCTCCAATTGCTTTCCCACCAAAAATCTCATTTTCTCCTAATACTTCTGAGAGGAAGAAGGCATCTGCAACTTTCTCTTTTGAGAGAAGGAAGGCAATATAGGGCGTTCAGCGGTTTACTTAAACCTTCATGATAGGGAAGCCCAGTTTGCCTTATTCTAGTGCAGGGCTTTGCCTGCTGGGCCCACTACATCTTCCATACCATGACAATGTACTGGTTTTCTCTCCTTCTATCTGGTATTTAGAACCCTTCACTGTTTGGTTCCAACTGATCTTTCCAGAATTATTTTATGTTATTTCCCTGATGCATCTTACTATATATTCCAGCTCCAATTCATTACTTGTTCACCATGGTAATGTGGTGAACAAACTCTGGTTTTCCTTAGTAGTATGATTTCTTTGAAGACCTTCTTGCTGTCTCTAAAGAAGACATTCCATTTCCTGCCTCTGACTTTGTACAGGCTATCTCTAGTACCTGGACTACTCAACTTCCTCAACTCTTAGAATCCTATCCATTCAAAGATCCAGTGCCATATCCTACACAAAGCCTTTCCTGATTTCCCCAGTTTTTAGCAATCCCCCCCTTAACTTTGTATTTACTTTTTATATATCTTTTATTGTACTTACCTACATGTATTTTGTTTTCCCTCAGTAGAATGTAAATTCTTTAAGGGAAGACACTGTTTTTGTAGCCCTGATGTTTAGCACAGTACCTAGGTGCAGAATTTGTTTAATAAATGCTTGTTGAATTGAATTGAATTACTTTGCATGTTCAAACAGGTCAGATTGGAGCTGTTGAAACTGAATCACATAGTAGGTGCTAAATAAATGATTGATTGAATTGGAATTCTTTCAGTTCACTTTGGGAACAGTTCATGTCTACAATTCCTATGGTAGTAAAATTCATGTCTAAACAATAGATTTGACATAAACAATGATAGTACAATAATTGTAAAGATGAAAAAACAGAACTAGAGTTATGTTAGCTCTGTAAATGTTTGTGACTGCTTAGAGTTTTTGTGTTTAAAATTTAAAACAGTCAAACTGTGAACCATGAAATATAATATTTTTGTTTGGTAAGCGAAAACTTTAGTTTATATATGAAATATTTGAATAATATCTTTAAAATGGAATGTTTTTCTTCTTTTTATGCTAATTTTTTGGAAACTAAAGAATGAGTCAAGAAAATGAAATGTTACATTAGTGATTCAATTCACTAGCTGCCTGAATTGAACCTTTTGCAGATGTTTCAGGTTTATTAAAATTCCCTTCTGAAATGGAATTTTTATAAATTACTGCCAAACATCTTCTTGCTTAATACTTTTTTCTAACAATTTGTTTAACAGTTGTTTCATGAAAAATAATTTTTTTGAAATTAAAATGAATTTTAAAAGTGTTCTTTGATCAACTATGAGCAAAGAGAGATGGACAAATCTAATTATATTGTCTACTGACATGAATATGCACAGATCAATTTTGATGAAGTCATTGATAAATTTTCAGAAGTTAAGATCTAAAATCAATTGTAATTATATTATTCATCTCTACAATAGACTAATGTATAGACATGAAATTTTTCCATTCCCCCAAATACCTTAATATAATTAAAATATTAATCTATTACTTTTTTCTTTTTTGCGTTTTTATTTTTCATTGGCATGCTTATTTATATAGATCCTATCATATTGTGTATATATGTGTGTGTATATACATATACATATAGATATAAAGTTCATATATACAATCACTGCATTTTTCTGAACAATATTATTCATTTCATTCATGATTGTTACTGAAAATAATTTTGTCATATTGAGGAGAGGTGTTTAAAAATAATTCATTCCAGGTATCAAATATGTGAGGTATGCCACTTTACCAGATAATACGCAGAATGAATGAGCTCTTTTACTGGCACTGAAGTACTTCAGTTCAACCAAAGAAAGAGAATCTCCAATCTGACCCAATGGGAAATTTCCCAAAGTCCCAGGAAGCTTGGACATGATAGAAGTGCTGGCTTTTCTGCATGTTAGCTTCTTCATGGAGTCTTTCTTTCCATCCAAGTATTCCTCTCTGAAGAGAGCCCATAAACACATGTATACTTTTCTCAAAGATGGAAATCAGAAGACTAGGATGTTCCCTCTTTCAACTTCTCTCCAATTATATCCCTCATACAGGTGCAGAGCATCAGGTAGTCATTCTCCATCAATGAGGAAAATTACATACAAATAGGCTTGAATGTCAAGTTACACCTCTCTTTTTTTTAAGGCACTTGGGATTAAGTGACTTGCCCAGGGTCACACAGCTAGTAAGTGTCAAGTATTTGGTCTGAGGTCACATTTGAACTCAGGTCCTCCTGACTTCAGGATAGGTACTCTATCCACTGCGCCATCTAGCTGCCCCAAGTTACATCTCCAATAGGAAATTTTCACGAAAGAAAGAGAGAAAGAAAGAAAGAAAGAAAGGAAGGAAGGAAGGAAGGAAGGAAGGAAGGAAGGAAGGAAGGAAGGAAGGAAGAAAGAGAGAAAGAGAGAAAGAAAGGAAGGAAGGAAGGAAGAGAGAAAGAAAGGAAGGAAGAAAAAGAAAGAAAAAGAAAGAAAGAAAGAAGGAAGGAAGGAAAGAAAGAAGGAAAGAAAGAAGCTGAGCAACATAGCCAGTCTTTAGGACAAGTTCAGTTGCAGAGTGGGGGCATAGAGGCCCTACATTGAGTTGAGAGAGTAAGTGACCTTCTAGGATTTAGGGAGGAAGAAAGAAGTAATGTGGTTAATAGGACCCAGGAGGTAGTGGTCTAGGGGTAGTCATACTACCTATCACCAGAGGATCACAAGGCAAGGTGCCAAGAAAGTTGCTGTAGGAAGGAAATGAACTTTCGCAGCATGTCAATGCCTTTGAGTCAAAGATCCCATGCTAGTAATGGGTATGAAGAAACTCTCCTAAGTAAACCGAGATTTGCTTTCACATAATTTAATTATACAAAATTTAAACTATCAGAAAAGAAAATTATTTCTCTATTAGTTTAATATTTCACTAATCTGAATAAAGCATCCTCATCCAAATACAGCATTTGAGGCTTTAAACTTTGTACCATTGAATGAAATGTGTATTTTATCCATATTTAATGTTTCATAGAATAGCTTTCTCTACTTCTTTAAGGATCTGTCACAACCTCCCCAACATTTCTAAAATGTACTCTACCAATTTCCCTTCCATTGTATTAAGGATTCCATCGTCTCATCAGAATTTATATAAAATGTCTGTGTAAGTATTTTTCACTGCTTCTCAGTGAGACTATTTGTTTTTTTTCCTAAAGTTTCAAATCGATGAGGGTGTCCAGTAGAATGCCGCCCACCCCGTCTGACTGAACAGTCTTTAGGGACATTGGCTTGGAAGATGAACTTTGGGGCCCTAGAGGCCCTGGTTCCTTTCTTCTTGGCAGACATGGCTTCCTGGCTTAAAGGAAAAGGGATAAAAAGAGACTTGAAAGGCTCTGTGGCTTTGTGGACACCATGGACATTGGAAACAAGAATGTTTTAGTGAATTAACTGTAATGATTTAGAAACCTGGAGATTATTTTTGCCTGGAAATATAGAAAAGCTTGGAACTGAAAGATGAAAGTTTTTGGTAAAATTGATTTGGAGTTTTACTCAAAGACTGCATTTAAAAAAATATTGCTTTAGAACATCCTTTTGAATTTCAAGCACCCAGATTTTATCAGACAATAAAGGCAGCTCATTATGAATTGATTCTGGTAGTTAGGACTGGGGAGCACAGTGGGATGCTCGGCAACTCTCACACTCTTTGGGGGCCTCTTTGAAAAACTGTGTTGCCTTAGCATTTATACTTAGGCCATTGGGTGGGGAAAAAGCATACTCATGCCGGAAGTAGCAGAGTTTACTTCTCACCAACCAGCACAGGATGGCAAGATAAGAAGGTTATCCTAATTTTGTATCTTTCAATATTTACCACCCTTTACCCCTCCACTCTTGTCAGCTTCATTTCCTCATTATCCTTTGGACATATTATGTATATTCCCACCTCTTTTCATGCTGTCTATGTTCCCCATGTTTATTCCAATCCAACTCATCATTCACCATCTCCTGAAGTTTTTACCCTACCCATGAAGTCTTTTCTAACTTCTTCCATTTATAGTGACTTCTCTCTCCTTGGAATAATCCTTTGGCACTTATTTCCTATATCTCATTTAGCATATGTATGTGAATATGTGTATGTGTGTGTATATATATATATATATATAAAATGTACAGATTATTGTGAATAACGAGTCCTTGAAGGTCCCATCTTTCAAATTCATGCTATTTGAAGTTATAAATATATGTTGTTGTAGTTGTTTAGTTGTTCAGTCATTTCTGACTCTTTGAGACCCCACAGATTTGTCCATGAGGTTTTCTTAGCAAAGGTACTGGAGTAATTTGCCATTTTCTTCTCCAGTGCATTCCCATTTTACAGATGAGGAACTGAGGCAAATGGGGTTAAGAGACTTGCCCAAGGTCATATATCAGGAAGTGTCTGAGGCTGAATGTGACCTCAGATCTTCCTGACTCCCAGGCCCTGTGCTCAAGCCGCTGTTCCACCTAGCTGCTCATACCTATATGTACATTATGGCAATTGATTCCAATGGATACAAACAAAGAAAATTAGAAAAAGGAGACCACTTCACAAGATTCTAATTGAGACCCATCTGTACTTTCACTTTCCATATCTTGTTTTCCCAATGAAACTTATAAATTCTTTCAGGGCAGGGAGGACAGTGTCATCCCC